CAGTAGCGGGTGGTGGGTAGCGGATGGTCAGTGGAGGGTGGTGTGAAGTGCGTGGCGAGTGGGGGGTGGGAGGCGGGGTGCATGGCGTGGGGGCCCACCTGCCGTACTGCGCCGCCAGGTCCAGCGCCGTCTCCTCACGCGCGTTGCGGATGGACGGGTCGCAGCCCATCTCCAGCAGCAGCGCCACCGCCGCCGAGTGGCCGTACTGCGCCGCGCAGTGCAGCGCCGTCTCGTTGTCCTTCGTCTGCGACACCAATCAACGAGTGCACGCGTGAACGATTGGATCGGAAATCACAACTATAGCTACAAATCAAAGTGACGGGACACTCTGAACTCCATATAAAGCCAAGAGTAATATCGCATTCTAACTACAAAAGTTACACAACTCAATATGTCAGGTTTTCCAAGAATCACGAAAAACGTTTGTAGCAATAATGAAACATTACTACGACAAACAAATTTATCTGCATTAATGAAAACAGACATAAAACCAAAATTAAATGGTGTTTTAATTATTTCTAGCAATAACCCCACAGAACTGACCTTTGCTTTAGTTACATCACTTTTAGTGTCTTGACCAGTCATACAGCCACCCACTACCGATGACCACTGAACAGCACACTAAAAGCCATATTGTGAAGTTATAGAGACACATTTTTGATGTCAAGTATTGTTTCTGTATGTTATAGTAACAACTCAAAAGTTAAGATATTTTAGTTGTGGAACATTTGTAGCAAGGTTGCGATATGTAGCTTACGATTCTATTTTCAATGTTTTTCAAAATTATGTTATCTTTCACCCAACAACTTCTACGTACAAGTTCCATACGTAACTTGGCTCCAAAGCTAGCAGGGGTACACTGTTCAGTTAGAGAACAGAATAAATAGGTCTCTTTTTAACGGTGGATCGTAATTTTTGTAAACGTGCATCTAACTTGTTGATGGGTGAATAATAAAAAAAGGTTAAAAAATATATTGAAAATAGATCCCAAAGCTACATATTACATTAGGTTTTATGTAGTAGGTATTAAAAGTGCACAGGCACTTTCATTTGTTCCTATTTCCCCCACATCATGTAATCAGCACATTTTGAATAGTAGTGCAACCATTTAAAGTATGTCACTTTTAGCAGAAAATTCATTAATTGTATCAAACAAAAGGACCCAAGCCAGAGGAACACTGAAAAAAAGAAATTAACTAACACATATCTCTCATACTATAATTTTAAAAATCAAGGAATATAGTTACGGCATTACTTGATGAAACTAGTACACCAAAATAGTAGACATTGTTTATATACTATGAGCGCACTTTATTTCGTTGTGTCTTGTTTCTTCTATCATTTTAATTAATATCGTTAAAGTTTACGAAAAAGAAAAACACGCCATCTGATCAATTTTCACTTTCATATACATATTTTTAACAGCCCAAGAGGAGGAGCCATGCAGGCAATATGAAAATATTTTTAATTTCTCAGAAAAATGTTACACCATAGAGTCATCAAATAAAGAAAACATGTAGTAGCTCTGAAGAAGGCCACAATACGCTGGCCGAAACGTTAGCCACCATGACATCGACGCGGCTTGTCCCGGATAGCTCAGCCAACAAAGAAAACATGTGTTTTGTGTAATTTTCTACCTTATTATATTTTCTTTCGAAATCCACATTCTTCTCAAAACAACAGAAAAGAAAAACTCACAGACTCTTAGAGAACTTGTGAATAAACTGCTTCAAATGGTTTTGAAAACGTTTTTAAATTCGGCGCGTTCGCGTCCCGAGCCTTTCACCTCCGGCAGGGAGAGCGGCGCGCAGCAGCCCGCGTTCCCGTCCGTCAGCTTTCGGAGCGACGGCAGACGTCCGACCGCAGGTGTTTTCGAAAACTTTCTCGCGGCGGCGTGGGCGGCGGACGAAAATTAAAAACCACAGGAGCGCACACGCCACCGCCCACACGACCCAGTGGCCAGCGCCGCCCCTCAGGGCGGTCGCCCGTCCATCAGTTCCATACCGGCGGCGGCGGCGGGAGGCTCGAGCCGGCGAGTCCGACGCGACGCGTCGCGTCACGTT